AGATTGAATCTTTTCCTATAGAAAAAAACCCTTTTAAAAAGTTATTTATTATCTCTAATATTTGGTAAATATTACATGTAGGGTCTGGAAATTTAGAAACATCTGCATGACTTGTGAATTTTTTGACTTTTCTTTCACCTGTTTGATTTTTGGTGGAAGTAAAAATTAATAAGTTCTCTAAGCAATTGTTGGATACATACTATATGCCAAGTACCATGCTGAGTACTAGGAATATAGAATCAAATGAGACATGGTCCATACTCTCAAGAAACCTACAGTAGAATAGGGAAGACAGATAAATAAACCATTCCACTGCAGTTCAGTGTGAAAAATGCAGTAACAGAGATGGGTACAAGGCACCACTGAGGAACAAGTAAGGACTCTCCCTGGAACTCAGGGAAGACATCTCAGGGAAGTCACTGAAGCTATTTTAAAAGATGACAAAGTTCTACATCAACAGGGTTTTGTATTTATTTCGTGAACAACATAACCCATTTTGCTAGCCCCATCTCAACAGTTGGCAAAATAAACATGGTATCTGTCAGGCTTCCCTCTAAACCGTAAATATATTTTGTAAGTTATAATACCCAAGAGAATTTACATAGAAAAAACCTTAAAACCTTAATCTAGAAGGAATTGACAATTGTGGCTGCCATAGCTGTTCTGCTTTTAATTTCCCTTTTATCTGCCGACTCCACTACCCCTTCCTGGAATCTGTATTCCTGTCACCACTTTCACCTCCAACCTCCCTGTCCTCACTTGGTGTGGCTAAATATTTCCCCCTTATTTCAATCAGGACAAGACACAGATTGTTTTTCCTCAAAGAAATGAAGAATCACAGGACACTATTTTTGGCTTGTCTTTTAGACAGAATCTAATCTAAAGAGGCTTAAATTTGGTGTATGGCCCCTGCCACGTGGGGGGCATCTCCAGTTATAGGGATCTTACTACCACAGAGGAATCCTATTAGAGCCTCCATACGTATTGGGTAACATCTCTCCAATGTTTATTAAGAAACATACAAAAAATAAAACAAAGAAGAAAATGTAAAAGGAATGTAAATGGAAGGGAGAAAAATATGCACTTATTAAATGTCTACTAAGTGTGCAACACTTTTATTCATCATTGTAGTTAGTTCTCACTCCCAAGATGTTCTGCCCTTTAGCAA